CTATTGAAAATTTATAAAAATCATTTTTTTAATGTTTTTCCCAATTATTTTTTTTCTCAAAACAAATTTTTATTATCTGCACAATGCATATATGTACGTAGTTTGAAAATTTTTAATAGACACTATGTTGATTATATATTAAATCAGTAAATAATATGAGTGTAAATATAAAATAAATAAATAAAAAGGTGAAAAGTAAAATGAAAGTTCAAAATATTTAGCTCATAATATATAAACATATTGAAATTTAAAAAATATAAAAATCAATGTGTTCATATACATTATTTTCAAAAAATATTTGTATTATTTATTATGAATAAAACTATTAAAACTATTAAAAATAATGAAAAATTTATTTTTAAAGAGTTTCTCTATAGTTTTATAAATATTATATATATATATATATATATATATATATATATATATATATATATATATTAAAGTATACATCACACAATATAACTATAAAATAAAATTAGTTTGATGCTGATTATTTCATGATACCTATTCTTTTTATTTGTATCAATTCAAAAATTTGCTCTATAACAATAGAACTCTTTTTAAACAAATAATCATAATTGTATTAATTTTAAAAATAATAGAGAAAATATTGAAAAAATTAAAATAAAATAAATTATTAAACCACATGTTATAACATCTCCAAAGGAAGTTATAATAAATATTATTTTAAAAAAATTATATCAATTGGAAAATTTGTTTAAAATTAAAAAAATATTATTTATACATAGCTTTATTCAATCAATCAGCACATATTTACTTTTTTTTAATTATATTTTTATTGATATATCTTTTAAAGTGTAATTAATGTATTTTAAAAAAAATATATTCATCTAAAATTAATTGAACATGCAGTTTGCAGTAGTTTATTTAATCAATTTCTAATTTCTAGGTTTAATCTCCACTGCGAATCTCATTCTTTATTATCTAATAACAAAATAATTTTAAATTCAAATCAATGTTATTATTTTTTATTTATCGAACAAATTTATATTATGTTCACGCATGTATATGTGAAATTTAGAAATTATTAATAAGCTCGTTCTATGATAATTATATATTAAACTAGGAAAGTATTATAATATAGTAAAAGGAAAATCATAAATACAATTGCAATTTTTAAAAAAATTGAGAATATATTTAGAATATTCATGTGAAATAAAAAATGATGAATTAGTTAATTATTATTTTGTTCGAACTCTCTCAATTACAAACAAGATAGAGAATGCAAAGTCATCACGTATCTCATGATTTAAATTTCATGATTATAGATGAACTTCAAAGTACTTTATTAGTATATGAACAGATAATAAATAAACTCCAAAATAGTTTATTAGTGCATAAGCAGAGAATGAATGAACTACAAAATAGTTTATTAGTGTATGAGCAGAGAATGAATGAACACAATTTTCATGAAGAATAAGTATTGAAGGTTTCACAGGAAGAAATAAGTGCTTACAATGGATAGGAAAAAAGTGTTTTTCAAGGAGTAAGAGGAAGAGCAAGAGGTAGACAATCTATGAATAAGGCAACAATAGAGTGCTACTATGTCATGAGTTCGGACACTTTCAATATGAATGTCCAAAAAGCCTCGATAGCAGAGCAAACTATGCTGAAGGTGGTGAAAAAGTCGTGTTACTCATAACACAACTTCCAACAGATGAAGAATCAATTATACATATGTGGTTCATTGATTCAGGCTGCAACAATCATATGACAGGTAGAAAGGACTGATTTAAATTACTAATTAATAAAGTTATGCATTTGGTTACAAATGTATTTTATGTTTCTGAGTTCTAAATAATTTATTTAGTGTGGGTCAATTTTTGGAGAAAGGATTAAGGATTGAAATGAAATAAAATAAGTATGAAGTGTTTCAAGGAGAGGATATAATATTTAAAACATTTATGACTACTAACCACATGTTTGTTATCTCTGTAAAATCTAAAGTTTCTTACAATTGCTTTAAATTAAGTTCAACAATAGCTCAAGTCTGACACTCTCGTTATGGTCACTTGAGTTATAGTGGATTGGAAACCTTATTAAAGCATGATATGGTGTGTGAACATTGTCTTAAAGGGAACATTGTCTCAAAGGGGAGCAGAACTAGTAAAAGGAACATTGTCTCAAAGGAAGCATAACTAGTAGAATGATTGATGCTAGATCTGTGGAAGAATTTCCTCAAGCAAATGAAAGAGTATTCTAAACAAACTTGAATGATGATGCAACAACAACCTACAGGATGGACTCAACCTTTGATTCTCCAGCAATAACCCTTCCAATGGAAGGGGGGCTAGAAGACCAACAACCTGGATGAAAGATTATGTCACTGATGATGATTTAATTAATGAAGATGCTATAAATTTTGCAATGTTTGCAGATGCAGATCCAGTAACATGCAACCAAGCATTATATAATCAACATTGGAGAGATGTCATATAAATTTCAAGTCATTCAAAGAAATGATACATGGATCTAGTTGATCCACCACCAAATTGCAAAATTATAGGTGTCAAGTGGATTTACAAGACAAGATTGAAGGAGACAGGGGAGATTGACAAATTTAAAACCAGACTAATAGCAAAATGATACACTCAAGTAGAGGGCATCAATTGGAAACCATTAGAATTGTTGTTGCATTAACAGTCACAAAAAGGTGAAACATTTATCAGCTTGATATCAAGTCAGTCTTCTTACATGGGACAATCAATAAAGATGTATACTTAGAACAACCACGGGGCTATGTCTCTAATGGACGTGAACATCAGTATACAAACTTAAAAAAAGTCTTAAACAGGCTCCTAGAGCCTGGTACAACAGGTTGGGGTCTTATTTTGCAGTCAATGATTTTTTAAAATGTCCACATGAACACACTCTATTTGTGAAAAGGAAGGAGAAAGATGCACTCTTAATTGTTTGTGTTTATGTAGATGATTTGATATACACAGGTAATCATGAATCAATGTTTCTAGAGTTTAAAAGTATGATGATGAATGGGTTTGCTATGACTAACTTAGGCAAGAAGAGATATTTTCTAGGCATTGAAGTTTTGCAAAGCTGTGACGAAATTAGTTTAAAAGTATGATGATGAATGAGTTTGTTATGACTGACTTAGGCAAGATGAGATACTTTCTTGTCATTGAAGTTTTGCAAATCTGTGACATAATTTTTATTGGACAGAAGATTTATATCAGGGATATGTTGGACAGATTCTACATGCTTGATTATAATTTAGTTAAGAATCCTATTGTTCCAGGTATTAAGTTGCTGAAAATAGATAAAGGGGTAGAAGTTGACAGTACTTTGTTCAAATGACTTATAGGAAGCCTTATGTATCTAAACAATGCTATTAGAACGGATATTGCACATTCACTTAGCGTGATTAGTCGCTTCATGAGCATCCTAAAGACAGTCACTTCCTATATTTGTAGGGAACTCAAAATTTAGGAATTTTGTATAAAGCTGGAGGAAATGTTATTAGACCGAATATTGCACATTTAATTAGCATGATTAGTCGTTTCATGAAGTATCCTAGAGACATTCATTTCCTAGTAGCAAAACGTATTTTGAGATATTTGCAGGGAACTCAAAATTTAGAAATTTATAAAGTTGGAGGAAATGTATAATTATTTGTCTATAATGATAGTGATTATGCAGGGTATCAAGAAGATAGAAAGAACACATCTAGTTATGTTTTCAAATTGAGAGATGGTGTAATATCTTGGTCATAAAAAAACAACTAGTGGCTAGCTTATCCACAACAGGAGCAGAGTTCATAGTAGCTGCATTTTGTGTTTGCCAATGTGTTTGGCTAAGAAAAATTTTGGAGCATCTAGATCACTATCAAGAGGGAGCTATTATCATTTTTTGTGATAATGCTTCTACAATAAAATTATCCAAGACTCCAGTCTTACATGGAAGAATAAGATTTCATTTTTTGAGAGATTTGTGTAATAATAGTGTTATTGAGTTGAACTATTGCAGTAGTAGAAAACAATTAGCAGACATAATGACAAAACCACTTAAAGTTGATAGTTTCCAATATCTACGAAGTACTTTGTTCAGAGGGTTTGTTCGGAGGGTTTGTTCAGAGGTTTTGTTTGTTTAGAGGGTTTGTTTGTTCATAAAGGGTTTATTTGTTCACATAGCACAAAGGGTTTGTTTGTTCATAAAGCACAGAGGGTTTGTTGGTTCACAGAGCATAGAGGGTTTGTTTGTTCACAAAGCACAGAGGGTTTGTTGGTTCACAGAGGGTTTGTTTGTTCATAGAGGGTTTATTGGTTCACATAGGGTTTGTTGGTTCACATAGGGTTTGTTTGTTCACAAAGGGTTCACAGAGCACATAGAGTATGTTTGTTCACAGAGGGTTTGTTGGTTCATAAAGGGTTTGTTTGTTCACATAATGTTCACAGAGCACAGAGGGTCTGTTTGTTCACAGAGGGTTTGTTAGTTACAAAGAGTTTATTGGTTCATAGAGGGTTTGTTTGTTCACATAAGGTTTGTTGGTTCATAGAGCACAAAGGGTTTGTTGGTTCGTTAATTCATAGAGGGTTTGTTTGTTCACAGAGCACAGAGGGTTTGTTTGTTCACAGAGCACAGAGGATTTATTAGTTCACCGAGCACAGAGGGTTTGTTGGTTCACCGAGCACAGAGGGTTTACTTGTTCACAGAGGGTTTGTTTGTTCACAGGGCACACATGTTTGTTTGTTCACAGTTCACAAGGCACAGGGGTTTGTTTGTTCACAGGGCATAGGGATTGGTTGGTTCGTTCACGAGGGTTGGTTTGTTTCGTTCAAAGGGTTGGTTCGTTTCATTCACAAGAGTTTGTTTGGTTTCATTCACAAGGGTTTGGTTGGTTCGTTCACAGAGGGTTGGTTGGTTCGTTCATGAGGGTTGGTTCGTTTACAAGGGTTGGTTGATTTGTTCACGAGGGTACAGGAGTTTGTTCGTTCACAAGGGTTTGTTGGTTAGTTCACGAGGGTATGGGTGGTTCATTCACAAGGGTATGGTTGGTTCACAGAGGATTTAGTTGGTTCGTTCACAACGATTTGGTTGGTTCATTCACAAAGTTTGATTGGTTCGTTCACGAGGGTACATGGGTTTGTTCATTCACGAGGATACAAGAATTTGTTTACGAGGGTTGGTTGGTTCGTTCACAAGGGTATGGTTGGTTCATAGAGGGTTTGGTTGGTTTGTTCAGAGAGGGTTGGTTTGTTTATTTACAAAGGGTTGGTTCATTCGCGAGGGTTGGTTCATTCGCGAGGGTTTGTTCATTCACAAGGGTTTGTATGTTCACGAGGGTTTGTTCGTTCACGAGGGTTGATTGTTGGTTTGTTCATGAGAGTTGATTGTTGGTTCGCTCACGAAGGTTGGTTGATTTCGTTTACGAGGGTTGGTTCGTTCACGAGGCACATGGGTTTGTTCGTTCACGAGGCACATGGGTTTGTTCGTTCACGAGGGTTTGGTTGGTTCATTCACGAGGGTTTGGTTGGTTTGTTCAGAGAGGGTTGGTTCGTTCATTCACAGAGGGTTGGTTCGTTCACGAGGATGGTTCATTTGCGAGGGTTGGTTCGTTCATGAGGCACATGAGTTTGTTTGTTCGCGAGGGTTTGGTTGGTTCGTTCACGAGGGTTTGGTTGGTTTATTCAGAGAGGGTTGGTTCGTTCGCTCACGAGAATGGGTTGGTTCACGAGGTTGGTTGGTTCACGAGGTTGGTTGGTTCACGAGGCTGGTTCGTTCGCGAGGGTTGGTTCATTCGCTAGAGTTTGTTCGTTCATGAGGGTTAGTTGGTTTGTTCAGAGAGGGTTCGTTTGTTCACAGAGGGTTGGTTCGTTTACGAGGTTGGTTCGTTCACGAGACACATGAGTTTGTTCGTTCATGAAGCACAAGTGTTTGTTAGTTCACAAGCACAAATGTTTGTTCGTTCACAGGGCACAGAAGTCTGTTTGTTCACAGGGCACAGGAGTTTGTTTGTTCATAGGGCACATGGGTTTATTTGTTCACAGGACAGTTCACAGGGCACAGGGGTTTGTTTGTTCACAGGACACATGGGATTGGTTTGTTCACGAGGTTGGTTCATTCACGAGGATGTGTTCGTTCACAAGGGTTGGTTCATTTCGTTCACAGGATAGAAGTTTGTTTGTTCATAGAGGATTTGTTTGTTCACATACGATTTGTTTGTTTACAGGGCACAGGGGTTTGTTTGTTCCCAGGGCACAAGGATTGTTTGTTCACAGGGCACAAAGGTTTGTTCGTTCACAGGGCACATGGATTTGTTCGTTCACAGGGTACAAGATTTTATTTTTTCACAGAGGGTTTGTTTGTTCATAGGGCACAAGGGTTTGTTTGTTCACAGGGCAGTTCACAGGATACAAGGGTTGGTTCGTTTCGTTCACAAGAGTTTTTTTGTTCACAAGGGTTTTTTTGTTCACAGAGGATTGTTTGTTCATAGGGCACAGGGTTTGTTTGTTCACAAAGGGTTTGTTTGTTCACAAAGGATTTGTTTGTTCACAGAGGGTTTGTTTGTTTACAGGACACATGAGTTTGTTTGTTCACATGGCATAAGGGTTTGTTTGTTCTCAAGGCATAGGGGATTGTTTATTCACAGGGTACAGGAGTTTGTTTGTTTTGTTTGTTCACAAGGCACAGGGTTTTGTTTGTTCACAGGCCACAAATGTTTGTTTGTTCATTGGGCACAAGAGTATAGGGGTTTGTTTGTTCGGGGTACAATTCGTTCATGAGGGTTTGTTCATTTCGTTAGGTTGGTTGGTTCGTTCACAGAGGGTTGGTTCGTTCATAGGGATTTGTTTGTTCACAGGGCACAAATGTTGGTTTGTTTTGTTTGTTTACAGGGCACAACGGTTTTTTTGTTCACAGGGCACATGTGTTTGTTCATTCACGAGGGTTGGTTCATTCACGAGGGTTGGTTTATTTCGTTTATAGAGAGAGGGTTGATTCATTTCATAAGAAGGGGTTGTTCACAGAGTTTAAGAGAGAGTTTATTCACGGATAATAAAGTTCTATTTGTTTGTTGTTGTTTACATTTTATACTTAATTTAAATTTAAATTTTGTACTTAATTTAAATTTAAATTTTGTACTTAATTTAAATTTAAATTTTGTACGTGCTTCACAAGTTATTAATACGTATAATACGTGAAAGTTTGTTAATCAATTATAAAGTTAAATCTATATATTTAACTTCTTTATTTAATAAAGACATAACTAAATATATAACATAATAAATACTATTCAATAAAATTGACTCAAATGGTATAGTTAGTAAATCTAATTATGTGGATCTAATATAATTTTTTTAAAAATTAAATTGTTTGAGTTTTATTATGAGTTTGTATTTTCTATTTTTTTAAAATTACTAATTTATATTGTGCTACCTTTTATACATTGACAGATTTTCTTGGGGGTTGATGGGCCCGTGGTCCCCAAAGTTTTGTAATGGTATAGTTAGTAAATCTAATTACGTGGATCTAATATAATTTTTTTAAAAATTAAATTGTTTGAGTTTTATTATGAGTTTGTATTTTCTATTTTTTTAAAATTACTAATTTATATTGTGCTACCTTTTATACATCGATGATTTTCTTGAGGTTGATGGTCCGTAGCCCTCAAAGTTTTAGTAACTCCCATGTAATTTATGATTTTGACTCCCAAACTTAATGAGCATTTAATATATTTACTTGTATATTTACAATTTTATCCTCTCAAATCAACTCCTCCTAACTCTCATATAATTTATGATTTTGTCCCCTCAAACTTAATGATTATTTAATATATTTAAGTATATATTTACAATTTTATCCTTTCACCCTTTCATTTTCTTTTTTCCTTTTATATTTATTTATTATTTATTAATAATATATTATTTAGCTCCTTCAAGATTAATTGTCAAAATCATCGGTGCTTTTATATGTCTAAAATTTCTAAACCAAGTTTGAGATAGTATCATAGGATTATAAGTGTTCATTATAAACCACATCTCCATTAATGAATTTTAAATAAGAGCATTCAAATTTAAAAATAGAAATTATTTTGATATATTAAAAATATATAATGAATAGTGAAAATAATTAATTTGTTTTTAATTATATTTGATGTCTAATGATGATTAAAAAATTTGGTAGTAATTAAAATATTGTAATTATTTCAACTTAATTGATTAAATATATTAATTTGACAGTAAAATAATTTACACCAAATTAAAATACTTAACTTAGATAATCAATAAAAAAAATATAAAAAATATTAAAGACGTAGTGTGTTTCATCTTATACTTTACTTGACACAGCTAAGTTCTTTAAATGTTGTGTAGAAAAATAAAGTTCATAGATTAAGATCATCTAATTTTATTTACAAATAATTAAGTCAATGACAATTAAATATTGATTATAAGATGAGTAGTTTGTTTATTAGTTCATTTTAAGTATGAATTTGAATAAATAACTATTAATATCATATATTAGTATATAATTAACGTATTTATGAATATTTTAAAATTCACATCAAATGCGAACGAGTAGAACATACTCAAAAAAGTTAGTTTATATATAAGAAAAATAGAAATAAATCTGTAAAATGCACTACCGTTCACTCCCGGTAAATTGTGCTATTTTTTAATCAATTATTAATATATAGATAATATTAATAAAAATATTTTCATTATAAAAATTATTAAAAACAATTTACAACGAGATTGTCTTAAATCATTTTGTTTCCTTTCTTGTATTTTTAACATGCATATGTTTTTATAGATATTAATCTTTGTTTTTAATAAATAATATTGATCTCTATTATAATTTTTTATTTTAACAAAGAGACTCCATTTTTCTTTGTTATAGTTTTTGTACCTTTTAAATAATAGGACAGAATCCCTGTATTCAATAATCAATAGTGTGAATTTTCAATTTACGTGAATTTTGGTGAAGATAAAATTATACATCGGGAGCTGAATAAGGGTAAATTTACATATAAAAATAAATTTATAGTCATTATTTGGTTGGTGTAAATAGGGTGGAACGGTACCGTTTGATGAGAAATTATTACTACACGGCTAGAGAATACAAAAAAATAATAAAGAAAGAAATAAAACAAAATAAATATACGTAGGCAAAAGAAAAAGAAAAACGTTGTATGTTTGTTGATTGGGGGTTTCGATAACATTTGTTGATAGATGGATAGAGAGAATTGAAAGGGAGATGAATATATAAAGCTGCTTTAGTATTTTCCATGAGCTTAAAACCCTTTCTCTGCGCCTCAACCCAATCCTAAAACCTTATCTCTTTCTCTTCTTCTTCTCTTATTTTCTCCTTCTCGCAATTCCCATGGATTCTTCTGAATCTTCTTATCCTCAAACCTCTCTTCTTGTTTCTGACCAATCGCCGGTGCTTGACACCGCTTCAGACTCTGACGGCTTTGTTAGCGGTGAGGAAGGGGATTTCGAGGATGAGCCTACCAAGCCCATTCTTGTCAAATCTTCGGAGCCGGCTCAGGAGCCTGTTGTGGATGGGTATGTCGATGAGCCCCCCAGGCCCATTGCTAAGGTCACTGAGGACGACGATGGTTCCCTTGAGGACACGGATGATGTCGCTGAGGGTGCTGACGATGTCGTTTTGCAGAAGGGCGGTGAGAGGGGGGAATCTGGGGAGGCGGTGAAGGAGGGGGATTTTAGCGATAGTAACGAGGTGTTTGTGGAGGCTTCTGGCGGTGATGATAGAGAGGCGGAGAGTGACGGCGGTGGTGAGAATGGAGTGGAATTGAGTGGTGCTGCTGATAAAGGGTTTGAGGGTGAGGTTGTGGAGTTGGATGAGAGAGAGAAAAAAGAGAAGGCGGTGGAGGAGGTTAACGATGGTGGGACCAATCATTTGGATTATGTGGTGGATGAGAAGAAGGGTGAGGGTGGTGTTGTTGAAAAGGATAATGATGGTGGTGTGGAGGCTGTTGTTGATGGCGTCCAGGTTAATCTATTGGGGTCTGGGGTTGCTGTTGTTGGAGATGAGCTGGGTGTTGAAGAGTCTCAGATTAAAGGGTTAGATGAGGCGGCTGGGGTGACTCGTGGGGTGAGTTTGGATAATGGTTTTGATGCCATTGAAAAGGGTGGTAAGGACGATGAAGATGATGTTGTCGTTGATAAGGTTGTTGATGGGGGTGATGAGTCTTCTGGTCTAAATGTTAATGTTGATGATCACGTTAGTGTATTGAGTTCTGAAGATGGTGTTATTGGTGGGGGTGACGAGTCTGGTGAAAATGGAGTTGATGGAGATGGGTTAAAGAGTGACATTGTTGTACCTCGTGAGGAAGGTGACGTTTCGGAGTTTGTGGAGAAAGATGAGATTAAGAAGGAGGGTGATGTTGAAGGGAAGATTGAGAACCATGTGGAGGAGGAGGGTCACAATGAGGTGGGGGTTGGTCATCATGGTGACAGAGAGATTGATGGTTTGGTTTTGGATGAGAAAATTGAGAGCTCTGGAGAGAAGGTGGAAGAGGTGGAGAATGTTGGTAGTTATGATGATGACAGGGAGATGAATGGTTTGGTATCGAATGGGAAGGTTGAAGAAGTGGTATCTGGAAGCAGTGCTGCTGCCGCCAATAAGTTCTTGGAGGATTTGGAATTACAGCAGCAATCACGGGCCAGTGGGAGTTCGCGGGATGAGGGAATTGATGGCCAGATTGTTACTGACTCAGATGAAGAAGAGGAGACCGATGATGAAGGAGATGGCAAGGAGCTGTTTGACACTGCTACATTGGCAGCTCTTTTGAAAGCAGCGTCTGGTGCGGACCAAGATGGTGGCAGTATCACAATAACCTCTCAAGATGGATCGAGGCTATTCTCAGTTGAGCGCCCTGCTGGTTTGGGCTCATCGCTCCAGTCAGGTAAACCTGCCGCGAGGCCAACTCGTCCAAATATTTTTTCTCCTTCCATTAGTAGAGCTACTGCTGTTACTGAGAGCAATTTGAGTGAAGAGGAGAAAAACAAACTGAAGAAATTGCAGGAGATTAGGGTAAAATACTTGAGACTTGTTCATAGACTGGGTTTTACTACAGAAGAATCAATAGCAGCACAGGTGCTCTACCGGATGACACTTGTTGCAGGGAGGCAAAGTGGTCAAATGTTTAGCCTTGAGTCTGCAAAGGAGACTGCTACTCGGCTTGAAGCTGAGGGAAGAGATGATTTTGATTTTTCTGTAAACATACTTGTTCTTGGGAAAGCAGGTGTGGGCAAGAGTGCTACAATAAATTCAATTTTCGGTGAGACAAAGACCAGCATTAATTCTTGTGGACCTGCTACTACTGCTGTGACAGAAATTGTTGGGGTGGTTGATGGAGTGAAGGTAAGGATTTTTGACACACCAGGCCTCAAGTCTTCTGCATTCGAACAGAATTTCAATACAAAAGTGCTGTCTGCGGTGAAGAAATTGACTAGAAAATCCCCCCCTGATATTGTGCTCTATGTGGATCGCCTGGACCTGCAAACTAGAGATATGAATGATCTGCCGATGTTAAGATCAATTACTAGTGTCCTGGGTTCGTCAATATGGCGGAATGTTATTGTCACTCTGACCCATGCTGCCTCTGCCCCTCCTGATGGGCCATCAGGTGCCCCTTTGAGTTATGATGTATTTGTTGCTCAAAGATCTCACATAGTTCAACAAACCATTGGACAAGCTGTTGGGGACCTACGTCTCATGAATCCAAGCTTAATGAATCCAGTTTCTCTTGTTGAAAACCATCCTTCTTGTCGAAAAAATAGAGATGGCCAGAAGGTGCTTCCCAATGGTCAAAGTTGGAGACCTCTCTTATTGCTCTTATGCTTCTCAATGAAGATTCTCTCTGAAGCTGGTAACGCCACAAAAACACAAGAATCATTTGACCACCGCAGGCTGTTTGGTTTTCGAACTCGCTCCCCACCACTTCCATACTTGTTATCTTGGTTATTGCAGTCACGTGCCTACCCAAAACTCTCTGCTGATCAGGGTGGGGCTGACAATGGTGATTCTGATACTGAAATGGCTGACTTATCTGATTCTGATCTAGATGAAGATGAGGATGAGTATGACCAATTACCACCATTTAAGCCTATGAGGAAATCGCAGGTTGCTAAGCTTACTAAAGAACAGCAGAAAGCATATTTTGAGGAGTATGAGTATCGGGTGAAACTTCTACAGAAAAAGCAATGGAAAGAGGAGTTGAGAAGGATGAGAGAGATGAAGAAAAAAGGTAATACTAAAGTAGATGACTATGGTTTCCCAGAAGAAGATGATCAAGAGAATGGAAGTCCAGCTGCAGTGCCAGTTCCCTTACCCGATATGGCCTTGCCACCATCCTTTGACAGTGACAATCCAGCTTATAGGTACCGTTTCTTAGAGCCAACTTCCCAGCTCTTGACAAGGCCAGTCTTAGACAACCATGGCTGGGACCATGATTGCGGTTATGATGGTGTAAACATTGAACAAAGTCTAGCCATCATCAATAAATTCCCAGCAGCTGTTACTGTTCAGGTAACAAAGGATAAGAAAGACTTCAGCATCCACTTGGATTCCTCTGTTGCTGCAAAACTTGGAGAGAATGGATCATGCATGGCAGGCTTTGACATTCAAAACATTGGAAAGCAACTAGCTTACATTGTTAGAGGAGAGACAAAACTCAAAAATTTCAAAAGAAATAGAACTTCTGGTGGAGTGTCTGTGACATTTTTGGGTGAAAACGTGTCTACCGGGCTGAAAATTGAGGATCAGATTGCTGTTGGGAAACGCTTGGTATTAGTTGGTAGCACAGGGATTGTTAAGTCACAAACTGATTCCGCTTGTGGTGCCAATGTTGAAGTACGGCTCAGAGAGGCAGATTTTCCAATTGGCCAGGACCAGTCGTCACTGAGCCTTTCTCTGGTGAAGTGGAGAGGAGACTTGGCATTGGGAGCCAATCTTCAGTCCCAATTTTCTCTTGGACGTAGTTATAAGATAGCTGTTCGTGCTGGATTGAACAACAAGCTCAGTGGACAGATCAGTGTGAGAACAAGTAGCTCGGACCAGCTTCAGATTGCCCTTGTTGCCATTCTTCCGATTGCCAAGGCTATCTACAAAAACTTCTGGCCTGGGGCTAGTGAGAATTATTCCATCTATTAGATTGTCTTTTGCTTGCGTTACTAGTTAAGGAAAAGTAGTTTACGAGCTTATGATTGTCATGTTGCTTCTTGTCATAAGACTGTCTTGAATAATAAGCTTCTTTAGTTTCGTTTAGACTACTACATTAGTTCTTTTATGTGCCTGAAAATTGTACTGAAATTGAGATGGAACCTACAGGGAATTGATTCATAGTTGTTCTGTTAGCATCTATTGAAATTTTGGATAATCTTTATGTCAGATTATACTGTTTTTCCTGATCTCTGTCTACTTTGTTGCTATAATTTTGTGTATTGGTTGTACATTGTAACCTGTTTGAAGTAATGTGGTATTAACATGATTATTAAGCCTAGCTTGATTAGTCCACAACGTTTTTCTCCATTTTATTTATTTCTTTCTGAGTTTTTTCCTAATCTGTAGCATGTTGCTGCATTGTATAGGCAACGCCTAATTTGCTTCCAGTTTTCAGAAAGTTTTTGTATGTGAATTAAGAATCATGTCTCGGTAAAGCTTCCTCTATCGAGTAAATTGACATGGAAAAAGAAAGAAAAAAAAATTGATACTGTAGCGACTATCGTTTATCAAGAGCCTGTAAAATGTAAATAGGATCTACTGTCTATTGTCAACCTCTTTAACCCTTAACCATTATAAACATTTTTTCAATGCTCTTAGATTTTGAATATTTTCTTGAGAGAATATATATAAAGCAGTGATTTTCCACTATGATTCTATCATAAATCAGCTTGTAATTAAATTCTGTTGACTTTTACCATAATCATCCTAAAATTGATTATACTGAAGATTTCTTTAGTCGATGACTAGATTTCTTATGCTAACATGGTTAATTATAAACGTAAAACTGACAATCCTAAAGAATTCTTTATTTTTTGACTGAAATTTGTAGTGCTAACATTGTATAGTTATAAAAAAAGTCCAAGTTGGATATCTCTATATGATATCAGGAATGCTTGTCTATTAACATTTAATTAAGCATCACACATGATGCAAATTCACAGTATGCATTTGTATTTAGTAGATTTGAATTTTCATTTCCCCTTTTTCTAAATTTAAGCCACTATATGCAAAAGCTTACTAGTATTTTGAAGTCCATTATTTTAATACTCACTTGAGACCCATTTATAGTATCTTCTGTTATCTTTCTCTAATAATGTGTCATTTTATAGTGTAGAAAGATTGATGTAGAAGAAACTCTTTTTATAAGAAGGGGTGTGGTATAAGTCAACAAATGTACATACGTAGTCTTTAAACTTTTTCCTAATCTGACTCATTTACAGAACAATGTCAAAACTTGACCAATAAATTAAACAAGCAAGTTCAAACAAGATATACTTGTTTATCACTTGTCCATAACATTGTTCATCGATTTTATAAAATTTATTCAAACTTATTTAAATGTTGTTTAAAAAGATGTGATTTATATTGAAAAATGGGGGCATTGGGAAAGGTAGACAAAGTATGGAGATTAATGCTTTAAGAAAGAGTAAAAATACTTTGAACTAAATAAGATTTTGTTAAATTAGTGTGATCTGTTAAAAAGTTTAAAAAAAAAAAAATTAAGTCTATTACTTTTTATGGGCTTTTTTTAACCATGGTTGCACTTTTCGAAAGTTTGACTTACCATAATAAATTATTTAATGTTAAAGCTTTTAAGAAAGATCTGACTTATTCCTAGATTATTATCCTATAGTGTATATAAAATAAATTATAAACTACGCAGATTAAATAAATGTTGATTTTATTTAGTTCTGTTTAAAAAAAACAATTTTATTAAATAATTTTAAAATATATTTTTGAGAAAAATTTAAAAAAGTATTGTTTAATAATTATAAATTTAAATATTTTATTAGGAATGCAAAAAATGATAAAATTATTTTTTGATAACGATTTTAGAAATTAAAAATAAATAAATCCTTTCATTATAAATATTTTTATTACATTTTTTTAATTACTACTGCTTTGTGAGGACTGAATTTGTCCTATTTATATTATATGAATGTGTAATTTTGGTTTTAAGGTCTAATTTTACTATAAAAACACCAAATAAAATATAAATTTATCCTTCAATTAATCAAATTAGTATCAAACCCATAAAAAATCGTATTTAACAAAAGGTTGATAAATCAGAGTTTTTACTTATTTTTCTTAAAAAGAAAAAAAAACTAAAATATGATACAATTTTATTTGAAATTTTATATGTATGTTAAACATTAATAATCTATAGCTTTACGTGTTTATTTTATTTTTAATATCATAATGGTATTATATATTTTTATAATACTTTTTATTTTAAATTTATAATTTTTTATTAATATCCCGATTGAATAATTGAACATTAAATCAATACTGAATCGGTGCAATATCCAGACTCATTTTAAATATATATATTTTATTTTCTAACAAAAAAAATACATCATAAAATATTAATATATTATTTATATTTATTTGAATAGAATAACTGATTCTTAAAATAACTTAAATTTTGTCTTTTTGAGTTAATTAAAATTTAAAAAATCTGGTGTAATATTTGTGGTTTACATAGCCCATACTAAATAAAAATGGTGAAGTTTTGGGTTTCATTGAGCATAAAGGAAAAGCCCAAAACCTAATTGGACTTGTTGCTGTAGTGAACCTATTAAAATCAATTATTAATCCATTTAATAATTGTGTATTCCCCCTTAATGTATTATTATTAGGACATAGAAACAGTTAACTCTCTTAGATTTTATCTCTTTTAAATATTAACTATATTATAAAATTTATTTTTTCTTAAATATTATGGTATGTACAAATGTGTATAAATAAAATTAATGCCATTCAATGTCTATTTGAATGGACTTCTTATATATATATATATATATATATATATATATATAAAAAAACTAAAATTAAAATTAACTTGTGTGTTGCTTAAAGGTTACATGCCAATTTTTCAATAAATATATTCCTTCATCGTTTAATCATAGAGAGATAGATAAATTTTCAAGAATAAAATATATTTTTTTAAACTATAATTATTTGATACATGTCACTTTATTATAATTACTTCAAATATGTTAAAGGCTATGAGATTCATATTAATTATATATATATATATATATATATATATATATATATATCAAGCAATTTGTACTAATATTTTTTTTAGAGAAACTAGTAAAATAAATAACACTTTATTTTAAAATATAAGAAAATTTTAATTCATTTAATTATTTATTTTAATCTATATTAAATTACTTTTTTATTTATAAATGAGAGTAAAGAGGGTAATATAGGATATTCACAATTAAATGTGGTTCGATTTTAAAAAATTATAAACAAATATATAGACTAAATATGAATTTATTTTAATTTAATAAAAAAATTGAATTGAATGAATTGAATATATTTTTGTTATTATAAAAATATTAAATAATTTAAAAAAATCATTAATATTTAAAATAAAAAACAAATAAAAATATTTTTTATAATAATAATTATAAATAATTTTAATTTAAAATTAAATTTTTTAAATAAATTACATAATTTTATAATTATATATATTATATAATTATAATTTGATTTAAACACATGTTATATTTTAATACAATACATTATTTGATTTATTTTTTTACTTTTAATTCGAAGTTCGAAATAAATAACTTAAGTCCTGAAAAAATAGATAAAAGTTTTAAAATAAAATAAATTAACTCATAATTTTTTTATTAATTTAATTTAAAACATGTTAAAAAATAGTATAGCAAATTTTAGAATTTAATAGAGCTAAAGTTGGTAACAATTTCCAAAAGTGTATACCTACAAATTTGGGAATCTTATTCAAAAATAGAATGATAAATTATGCTTTTGACTTCAACAACTCACCATAAAAATATTTATGCTCATATCGTTCTTAAAACAGCATCAATTTAATTTTCATAATTCACTTTTATATGCACATTTTTAAATTATTAAGATTATGATATGGATTGGTTGACTTGATTCATATGAGAGTGGAGTAATACGATTTAGAAAAAAATATTTTTTAAATTAAACATCTTTATTATTACTTAATTTTCTTAGTTGTATATTATTAATCATTTTAAAATTATAATAAAAGAGATAAATATATTTTTTATTTTTTCATATTTATTATGTTATGTAATATATGTGACATTCTTAGAATTGTCTAACCAAGTTTTTATTAGTCCACTAAAGTAAACAATTATACAAGTAAAAATAATCACTAATTAAAATATGTATCTATTTAAAGAAAAGATTATTAATGTTTAAATAAAATTTGAAAATGTAATATATAATTAAAAAATGTAAATTTATTATTTTAAAATTTGTTAAACTGCTGGCAACCTTTTTCATCTATGCACATCTAGCATACATGCATCACATGACATGCCCATACTCATCATCCATGCATCCAAGCACCACATCAACGTTCACTCTCTAGCTCTTCTCGTCAAACCACCGATTGACCCTCTAAATTATTTTCACACCTACGTATGCTTTTATTTTTATAATTTTTTATATAATTATATAATAATATGAATTATTTATAAATTTTATTAATGATTATTTTTTGTTCAATATATACTGTAGTGTAGCTTTAATTGATCCATCGACAAAATGTACTTGCGGAAGATCTTTGTCTTGCTTATTGAAGAGACATAGGGTTAATTAATTAAGCTCTTTTTTTAAGCCCAAAAAAGCTTTTTATTCAATACTACATTAACTGTTTTATTGTAAATCAGGTTTTATGACAAAGCAAAGGTTCTGGTTTTTCTTCAATTCAGTGCTTTTAATTTGAGAGGTGTTTTTGTAAGTGTTTGGTTTATTTTCATACTGAATTTTGTGATCAAAATGTGTGAGGGTTAAAAATACTTTTTTTTTTTATATACACATAGCGTGTTTGGTTTAAAAAAGCATAAAGGGTTTTATAAAATTTAAAAATACTATTTTTAATGAACATGGAATAATTAGTTTGCAAAAAAAAAAAATCTCAATGATTTTGAACACAATTCTAAATAACTATGTAAATTATTAAAAAGTTAATAATACCAGCTAAAAAAAATTGCAAAGACAACCATCATACATAACTTTTGTCATAATTTTTTTTTTCAAAAGAAATGAAACCAAACTAGATTGTAGCAAAAAGCTACAATTACAATTAAAACATGTCATGTCATCATTAGTTGAAATATAAAAAAAACAAAAAAATCTGTTCTGTATTCTGCTGTGCTTTTGTTGGCAGGGCCTCAAAATAAGCTCCTGGTCCTTTCATTTGCCATTCTTTCTTTCTCTCTCATAAATTTTGTTGCTTCTTCATTTTGGCATCACACAATATCAAAGAGAGAAAGAGAGAGTGGTTTTGAAGAAAATCCAAGTGAATTTAAGGAGCAACCACTGTTCCAACCAGCCCTTTCATCTTTGTAGTGCCTGTTTGTTTTTTCGTGTTTGCATGCACTGTTCCACACGAAAAAGCTCTTTGTTCTATCTCTTTCTGTCTCGAGATTGGTGTGTGGAACAAGATAAAGCTCACTCTCTCACAGGAACATTGCCCCTTTTCTTTAACTTTGATACGGTGTTCCAAGTTTGGATTTTGAGTGGAATTTAGGGAGCATCATCTGATGAAGGAGTGTGGAGGCTCTCTGGGGGAAGAGGGCAAGGAAGAAGAGGACTCAAAAAAAGTGTCTTTTTGAATCGTAGAAAGTTTTGGTTTTGTTGTTATGGCACTTTGTATGCAGAGAGATTCAGTATTGAATAAGCTCATGGATTGTGGCAAGTATGTGAGGTACACACCAGAGCAGGTGGAGGCTTTGGAGAGGGTGTATGCGGAGTGTCCCAAGCCTAGTTCTTCCAGAAGGCAACAACTCATTAGGGAGTGCCCCATCCTTTCCAACATTGAACAAAAACAGATCAAAGTGTGGTTCCAGAATCGCAGGTAGAGAAGACAGACAGACAGACAGTGCATTGCATTGTTTGTGTTTTTTTGTGTGCTTTTTCAGAATGACATTCTTCGTTCTTCCCTTGGTTCTTTATTATTATTATTATTATTATTATTATTATTATGATGATGATGATTTTTATTTATATTTTTTGCATTTGTTGGGAACCCTCAAAGGGGTATTTGAGCTTCTTTCTCAGTATATTTGTTATTCAGTGAGGTTTAACTCTGCCTTTTTTCAAACGATGTCATAAGGGGGGTGTTTCATTTTTTGCATTTTATGTTTTTTGTTTTTCGTTTTTCGAGATGTGCTACTTGGGTTCAGTCTTGGAGAATGGTTCACAATTACTGGAGAGGAAAGCTTTAAACATCCCCTTTGAAAGAAAGATCTACTGGGAAAGTTACTCCATTTTTATCATTTTCCTGGCATATATCCTAGTTGTTAAGGTCGACCTTTTTAATTATTTTCCTCATAAAAAGAGTTTCTTTTTTTTGAGCTGATTAATGGAGATTATGACAGCTAGTTGTTCATTTTTGTGGGTGGATTTTTCTCAACTGCTCTCTTCTGACCTTTATCATTTTTGGTCGTAGACCATCTCATGATGTTTCTGTAGAGTATGCTTTAACGGAAATGTTCATACGATTACTTGGCTTTAGTTTTGGGATTGGTCATGGATAAGATGAAAGAAAGTGACAGCTGATTCTTATGACTTTTCCCTCTAGATTATTTACTTTTCACCTTCAACTTTCTTTCTTGTTTTTTTTTTCCCTTTTTTTTCCACTTAGCTCTTTTTTTTCCTTTTGAATTATGGAAGAGGGAAATTTATGTGTTGTTCTACCCTCTAAATTTTGTTCGAACTAATTTTCTCACCCCTTCCTTGCATTGATATTCTATTAAAATTAAAATGCGTGCAAATAGATTTATCACGTTTCGAACTTGTTTTCTGCGTGGACAAAGTTAGAAAAAATGTTTTGGTCCGATGGTATGTACCCTAATTTAGTATGCTCTTCTCGTTATTCACATTTCACATGTCTTCAACTTGAGGACACGATGGCCTAATGTTAGGGTCTTGTCCTAAAAGATATATTGGGAAACTAAGGAGTGAAATGAATAAAACACTTGTCAATTTTTCTTCTTTAGATGTCGGGAAAAGCAGAGGAAGGAAGCATCTCGTCTTCAGACAGTGAATAGAAAGCTGTCTGCAATGAACAAGTTGTTAATGGAAGAGAATGACCGTCTGCAGAAGCAGGTCTCACAGTTGGTGTATGATAATGGATACATGAAACAACAAATACACACTGTAAGTAGCTTTACATATGGGTGATTGCTATTCCAAATTATGGTTCTGAATGTTCATTGGTGTACCATTCTATGCATACACATGTATTTTTAGTGTATTGTTTCATTGTTGTTGAAGAATCTCATTTAGTGGTTTCTTAACAGGCATCTGCTACTACTGACAATAGCTGTGAGTCCGTGGTAATGAGTGGTCAGAACCAACAGCAAAACCCCAAAACTCAGCATCCCCAATGGGATGCCAACAACCCAGCTGGGTAAGTACTCAAAAAGTGCAAGCAAGTTTGTTCGCTATATGATCATTCACCTTTTGCATGACTCCCTAATTCTGTATTCTGGCAGTCTTCTTGCAATTGCTCAAGAGACCCTGGCGGAGTTCCTTTCCAAAGCTACTGGAACTGCTGTCAACTGGGTCCAGATGATTGGGATGAAGGTATGACCTACTCAACAACTCTTCATGGTCATATCTTGAATAAATTGTATGATTGTATAGTTATATTTGGCCTGTCATTCTTTCTTATGTAGCCTGGTCCGGATTCTATTGGAATCGTTGCTGTTTCCCGCAACTGTACTGGGGTAGCAGCAAGAGCCTGTGGCCTTGTGAGCCTGGAGCCCACAAAGGTATTTAGCTTATAATGATGCTTATCTTTTGAAGATTTATTTTCTTTGCCTACCTATGAACACTTGTTTTATTGACCTAATGGCATTCAAATCATCTCAGGTTGCAGAGATTCTCAAAGATCGTCCATCATGGTATCGTGACTGTCGATGCCTCAATGTATTGAGCGTAGTCCCCATAGGGAATGGGGGCACAATAGAGCTCATGTACATGCAGGTCTAGTGGTTATTTTGTGCTAAAAGGAAGTGGAATTGTAGATTAATTTACTTTTGAATTACTTCCTCTGTTGTTCTGTGGATATGTAAATTTGACTTTTTTATCAGACATATGCACCAACAACCTTGGCAGCTGCAAGAGACTTCTGGACTCTAAGATACACTACAACATTGGAAGATGGAAGTCTTGTGGTACCGAGCAGAATCTTGATTGTTATATTTTTCTTGATTTAGGATGTGAATTCTTTCTTAGGGAGAACTTGTCTTGACACAATGACTATTATTTTTTATTTGCTTTGCAGATTTGTGAAAGGTCTTTGACTTCTTTAACTGGTGGCCCAACAGGGCCTCCTGCTTCAAACTTTGTTAGAGGTGAAGTGCTTCCTAGTGGATATCTAATTAGATCCTGTGAGGGTGGAGGATCTATAATTCACATTGTTGATCACGTTGATTTAGATGTAAGGACAATGATGCTATTCAAATCAGTTTAGAAATTTCCATAATTTTGAACTCCATTGTTCAAGTATATTAACTAAATTTTTTATGTAGGTTTGGAGTGTTCCTGAAGTACTGAGGCCCCTCTATGAATCTTCAAAATTCTTGGCTCAGAAATTGACTACTGCTGTGAGATTTCTTACAAGTAACACTGGGTTATATAAACATGGCGAAATTTATTGATTAAAATTTTGGAATTTATTGAACAGGCCTTGCGACATGTAAGACAAATTGCACAAGAATCAAGTGGAGAAGTTCATTATGGTGGGGGTCGTCAACCTGCTGTCTTGAGGACCTTTAGTCAAAGGCTTTGCAAGTAAGGCACTTTGTATTTGGTGTCTAAGATCATTGTGTTGTTGGGTATTTCATTAATCACTTTGTATTCATCAATCCTTACTGACCAATTATTTTTTATAATCTGATTTAGAGGGTTCAATGATGCTGTCAATGGCTTTGCGGATGATGGTTGGTCATTGATGGGTAATGATGGTGGGGGAGATGTGACTATAGCCATAAACTCATCTTCCAACAAGTTTTCTGGTTCTCATTACAATGCATCAATGCTTCCAACATTTGGAGGCGGGGTTCTATGTGCCAAGGCATCAATGCTCCTGCAGGTACATCCCAGATCGACATACGCGAAATTGTCATATTTGTTTACTTGAGTCTGGTGTAATAGCAATCAATTCCAAGAACTCTTCCTCCTTGTTCCTCCATATCCCAACCATGCTAGAACAGAATCTTCTGGTATTTAGAGCATTTATCTTCATTATACTTAATTCTAAAATGATGGTTTGCAGAATGTTCCTCCTGCTTTGCTTGTTCGATTTTTAAGGGAGCATCGTTCTGAGTGGGCTGATTATGGGGTTGATGCATACTCTGCTGCGTGTCTTAAAGCCAGTCCTTATGCAGCTCCTTGTGCAAGACCTAGTGGCTTCTCGAGCAGCCAGGTCATTTTGCCGCTTGCTCATACTATTGAGCATGAGGAGGTATTCATCTTTTTCAATCCATGGTTGATGAACTTCATTCTTTATTTCCTATTTATATTCTTGTTTGCCACCCATTGCAATGATGCAGTTCTTGGAGGTAGTTCGTATTGAGGGTAATGCATTTCCCCCTGATGATGTTGGTTTGGCATGTGATATGTATCAATTGCAGGTAAAGTCATTTTTGTGGTTGTATGTGGGCTGTTGGTCTGTTTATCTCTTTTTAAGCAGGAATTTGCCACCGTATTTGTGAATGGTTTTTACTTACCTAGTACGCAACTTGATGCAACAGCTGTGCAGTGGAGTCGATGAAAATGCAATTGGAGCATGTGCACAGCTTGTGTTTGCACCTATCGATGAATCTTTTGCAGATGATGCTCTGTTGCTGCCTTCTGGTTTCCGCATCATACCATTGGATTCCAAAATGGTATGCTGCATTTGTTTTTTATGTGACTTGGTCATGAACATATTTTCTTAAATAGCTTTTTGAAGGAACTTGGCCATTAGAATATGAGCCTTTCTTACTCATGCTACTAGCATACTGCATATGAAATTGTCATGACTAGCAAGATTGCTTGTTTCTGTATTTTTTGCATTTTAGGATGGTCCAGCTTCAACTAGGACATTGGATTTGGCATCAGCACTAGATATAGGATCTGCTAATGCCCGTCCTGCGGGTGAAAGTGATTTGAATAACTACAACCTTAGGTCGGTTCTCACAATTGCATTCCAGTTTACTTTTGAAAACCATTTGCGGGACAATGTGGCTGTTATGGCTCGCCAATATGTACGCAATGTGGTTCGATCAGTTCAGAGGGTTGCCATGGCAATTGCACCCTCTCGGCTCAGTACACAGGTGGGGCCAAAATCACTTCCTGGTCCACCAGAGGCTCTTACCTTGGCAAGATGGATCTGCAGAAGCTACAGGTCTTTATTCTTCTAATTTATCTTGTCTGTAAGTCTATTTTTGCAATGGTTAATGTAGCTTCCTAAACCATTTGATTTCCTTGTATTCAAGGTTGGTCAAAAGTACGTATAAATGTGTCAATTTATGAATTTATAGATAACATGTAGCTAGCTGTGTTCTGTTATTGTCTGAAAAAGGCTTATTTTGAGGCAAATTAAACTCATTTGACTGAGTGGAACAGAAATTTTACCATCTTATTTCCTGTGTATGGTCTGATATAATAAAGACTGCTTCTTTCAGGCTCCACACATGCGCAGAGCTTTTTAGAGTTGAGTCCACATCTGGTGATGCAATCTTGAATCAACTTTGGCACCATTCAGATGCAATATTATGCTGTTCTGTAAAAACTAATGTAATCACTCTCTACCTCTCTCTATAAGCCTAATCTGCCTCACTAATATTTTTCTTCATCAAGTACATGTCTTCAACCCAATAAACTCCATTATTGACTGCCAAAATCGTGCAGGCATCTCCAGTGTTCACCTTTGCAAACCAAGCTGGACTTGACATGCTTGAAACCACTCTTGTTGCTCTTCAAGACATAATGCTGGATAAAGTTCTTGATGAATCTGGCAGGAAGGTTCTCTGCATTGAGTTCTCCAAGATAATGCAACAGGTAATTCACTAGTAAACTAGCACATGTCCTTGTCTTAGTATATATTGAAGAAAGTTGTTTGCATATTCCTTGCAAGTCTTGTAACTACAGCTGGTACCTTTTTGTTGTGAAACTAAAATTATTGCTTATATTGTGTTGTCCTTTTCATTTCAGGGGTTTGCATATCTGCCAGCAGGAATATGTGTGTCAAGTATGAATCGGCCAGTGTCCTATGAGCAGGCCATTGCATGCAAAGTTCTGGATGATGATGATTCCAATCACTGTCTTGCCTTTGTGTTCATGAACTGGTCTTTTGTCTAATTGGGAGAATCATCATTGAGATATATTCCTATTATATCTATTAGTTTATTACAAGTACTTCCTAAGATATAGTCCCAACAACGAAGTTGCTAATGTCTGTATTTCATGAACGCATGGTTGTGTGCCATTAAGCCTGTATGCTTTTATTAGCTATTACTACATATGTACCTTTCTTACTATATAAACTACTTGTTGAATTACGGGCTACTTAATAAACAAAGATTATCTTTCTCTAGCAGTTTGGTTTTAATATTTATTTATTCATTATTTAGAATGGTTACTTAGTCTTTAAAATTATAAATCTGATGTTAATATCTGCATTAGGTTTTTATTCAACTCAATGGCATTGTGATTTGTGTAGATCTTAGTAGAGTAAGTTATTTTGTTGTTTTCATCTATGTTGGCACCAAAGGGAAAGATTCTGTAGTCTCTTTATGTATAAAACCAACAAAATTAATTAAATTAGTAATTTTAACTGAGAACATCATAAATATAAATTCAACTTATAAAACTATTTTAAAAATAATTCTATCCACTGATGATGTTGATTATATAGTTATTAGGGCCATAAATGAATCAACTTACATTAATGGTTTTGCTTTATTATTAAATTTTACTGAGAAAATAAAAGTAAACTAATTATCAACTTATATGAAGATAGTCAATAATTAAAACAAATATTAATTGTATAAAAAAATTACTATAAATGATATTTTATGATAATAATATATAAGAAATGTACTTAATTATTTAATTATATATGAAATCATATTGAAAATACAATTAATAATATTAAATAGATATTATTATTGTTTAAAACCTGATAAGAATTTTATAAATTAAATTATTCCATCATGTTATAAATATATTAATATTTAATTTTTTATTATTATAATTCTCATAATTTCATTCTGAGTTAAATTATTAGAATGTCTTTGAAGTTTATTAAACTGAACAAAGTTCAGTGACATAAATTTATAGATGTTCATAATCAAGATTTTTTTTTTCAGGAACACTTATAATTATTTATATTTAAGTACAAAAAATATTATATAAAGTTTCATATATGTTAGGTTTTCAATGGGTTTTTTAGATTATGAACCAATCTTAAATTAAAACTGTAAGTATATAATTATGTTACTAACTACTAAAATAGAAGGTATCTATCATTAATATTGATTTTATTCAATATTGAGTAAGATTTTATTCAATGGAAAATTAGTTTATATTAAAAAATTTTTTTTTTTTAATATATATTATACTCTTGTAGAGTGAACATTACATTTTGAGATATAAATTTAATTACAAATATTAGTTTAAAAAGTTAATAATGGTCATTGTGATAATATAATAGATTAACAAGTTATTAAAATAATTGTTCTTTTCAAAATAAATGATAGTAGGTATAATTTATTCTTCAAATTAATCATCTTCACTTTAGAAGATTTTCAAATCTATCTTTAATACTAAAATAAAATAAAATATAAATTTATTACCTTTAATTTTCATGGTTTTTGTCCTTTTATCATTTTAGTTTTATGAATTTAAAGAAATCTATAATTTCATTATAATTTTAGTTTTACATGCATCTTATTTTCATATGATTAACCGTGCATTGAACATATTCATTTAAAATATCATAAAAAAATAATTTCAATAATTATTTCTAGATTTTGAAAATTAAAATTATAAAATAAACAATGAATGATAGAACAAAATTATAATATAACTTTATTAATTGATATAAGAAAAAACGATAAAAAGTGGAAACTAATGAAAAACTTGATATGTGTATTTATTAGTACTCTTATCTATGTAGTCAAATCAAATCAACACTGTGAAATTCTGAGCATATCATATCGACCACTACACTCCAAAATTAATGATTTTTCCATTTGAATAATTACACACAGCATGGGTCACATACCCTTTTGGTACTTGGGATATTCTAACAATCAAGTTTTAATATCTATCAGATACACAATTTATTTTATTAACATTATAATCATAAAATTGAATAATTAAATTAAAATAAAATTTATTCTATTAATAAAAGAAGTTGTAGTGGATTGTTTAAAAAATAAAAGTTGGCTAATTTTTTTTTCATTCAACTTTGCCTGCTGATTCACCGTTTTTTATTTATTTTAGATGGTGCAAATTTTTTGCAATTTCTTTAAGAAATAAGTGTTGCTAATTCAACCTTAATTCATGTTTTTATAATAATGTCAATAATCTGCATATAACTTTGTCTCATATTAATGTCAATTTAATGTAAAATAAACTAAATTGATTAGAAAATATGTATTTTATGGGGGGTTTGATATTCGTGATAAAAAAATATTATCTATAGTACGATAATATTATTTTATTTTAAAAGTGAGAATAAATTGTTTTTAAATATATGTTATAATTAAGATTATATTAATTATTCTTTTATTTATTATATTATTATTTTAAAATTATATTTATTAGAAAAATATTAAAATAATAAAGATATTAAACAAATTAACAAATTAATTAAAAATAATATTTATTTAATATGTTGTAGTGCAATCTTAAATGTTGTATTTTAAAAATAGGGAGTGATATTTTCATGTTTTAAAAATTTTAAAACATGTGTTTACATTAAATTATTTAGTGCATTGATAAATCAAGTTTGATTTATTTAGTGCATTATTCACGTAGAAATGGGGAAATGTATTTGAGGGGATGAGATATTATTTGCTTTTAGTGATTTGAGAAAAAATATAGATAAATTAAAATGGAGAGAAAAGAAACGTTTCATCTCAAAGAGAATGAGATGAAATGAAAAAGAAAAAAAATGGTATATAACCAATTTGTTATCATAAAGGGAAAGGAATAGTTAATTAAATGAGTAAACTTATATAATTATATAGTGTACAAATATTAATAATTAATTATATGAAAAAATATTATTATATACATAAATTAATATATAATATTATAGTTATATGTGATTTTATAATTTTTTATTATTATAAAATTAAAATTATATTTAAACATTTTTTAATAATATTATTGATTTTATTTTTTATTATAACTTTTTTAATTATATTTTAAAATTTTTATTTTTTACTTAAAAAAGCAATTTTTATACATAGTTTTTAATTAATAATTTAAAATTTATTTGATATATTTTAAATTAATTATTTGTATAAAATAATTTATTTTTATTAAATTTTAATTAACAATATTTTAATATTGTAATATATTATTTTATTAGTATATTAATATTCTTATATTCAATTATATCATAATTATTATTTTTACATACTTTATTCGTTTAATCAGTAAAATTTTTTATTATTACACTACAATAATTATTATTTAATTTTTTTATATTTAAATATATTAATCACATCAATTACAATCAATTCATCTAAATATCTTTAAATCAATTATCTTTTTTCTTAATCTAAATAATTTTATGAATTATTTTAAATCACCTCAAATTTTCATCCTAATTCAAATAAAATGAGTAAAATTTTATTTATTTCTCATTAAATAATTTATAAAATTTAAAATTTAATGTTTTTTTTTAAATATATAAAACATTTAGAAGATGATTAATGTTGTTTTGCAATTCTTTTTATGACATTCTTGACTTACTAGCATATATTTTGTGCCATTAATTGAAAGTAAAATGTAAATTTCTGTTTTTTTATTAATTATGTAACAATTTTTTTGAAAACTAGGATAAATTTTTTAGATGATCGTTGTCAAATGTTTTCATTAAAAATAAGGAATGGTTTGGTCTAGAATATGAACAAGTTGGAATAATGAAAGTGTAAAGAAATGAAAGATTTACAGTAGTTTGATTGATTGAATGTGTAAACAAATAAGGGAAATAGAAGCCGAGAGAGCGAATAAATATATAAAAAGAGAATTTGATATCAAAATTTTATTTTAAATAATTTCTTATATTTTAATTAATAATTAATTATAGATTTTATTTTTTCATTTTATTATAATGGTAATAAATAATATTCACTTTCTTCACAGCAGAAGTGTAGAATTGCATTAATTGCAGGAAAAAGTTAATTAAATTTAATACAAGAAGATCATGTACTGCGTGTGGGTCCCACTGGATCTTCAGCCGCATTTATAGTTATTTTAGCAGCCAACTGTACTAAGCTGAATATATATATATATATATATATATATATATATATATATATATATATATATATATATGCGTATGTCCATAACATACCATGCATCACCTCATATTATTATCATGTCTCATCAATTCATCTCATTCATATCTATCTATATATATTTCAAATAACATATTACTAAATAAATGATAAAAATATTAGTGGTAAAATTTATAAATATATAAATAAATATATTTAATAATTATTAAATTTGGAAGATCAAAATAGTAAATAATAATATAAATTAAAAAAAGTAGGTTGAAAAAAAAATCTTAAATAAATTTTAGGATATCTCACGTATGGAACTGGGACAATTAAACTCTTTCATCCATGTCGTTTTTATCTTTTTTTTTTTGTTAAAGATAAAATTTAAATTAGAATTTTAAAAAAGAATTTTTTTGAAACGTGATAATAGATTGTGAGGAGAATAGAAGAGCGAGTGTGATTCCAAACGAAAAAAGAAACACACATCGTTGTCATGCAGCTTTCAAAGACTCTTGAGAACAAATCAAAGCACTGGAGAAGAAGGGATGAAATAGTGGGGTAGGGACATGGTTGTACTGTGTCATCATATCTGAACTTTTTCACTGTTCTGAACACTTTGGTGAACTCATTTGGTTTGCTTCAATGTTAAATTACGACACAAAACCCTAATATTTGGTTAAAACGAGGGAGTGAGAGTGGTTGTATTGTTAGTGTAAGATGATGAGGCCATGGAAATAGGGCAAGCAGCTTCTGTGTCTGAATTGAACGAGACATTTTGGATTGTTTTGTTTGTTTCGATTCTAGACCTAATAATTACACTTGTTCTGTTCTTTTTGGGGTTTTGTGTTGGGCCATGCTCCTACTCACTCTATGAACTTTGGGTTCATAACCTTTTTGTCACAACCACAACTTAACCAGAATAACTTAATTTAATACAATAAATAAGGTGTTTTTGAAATATGAATATTAAATAAAGTTGAGATACTTACTTGAGATGAGAGAAATGTGTTTTTTAAGCCAGAGAAGTAGTATGTTAGATAAAACTGATTTAATAAAATAATATATTTTATTCAAACAACCGTTAAAGTTTTTTTTTCAAAATATTTTCAATAAAATATTATTTTATACAAAATTAATCATATTTTAAAAATAAGTTGTTTTTGAATGTTATCGTTTAAAAATATTTCTTCTCCTTATCACATCATTTACTTAACAAAAACTATATATATCTAAAAAATATAAAATTTGTATAATGATCAAATACCTTTTATAAATTTGCAATTAAAAACAATACGTAAATAAATGAATTAATTAATGCATAATGTATAAATATGATATATTAATATATTATTATCATTTAAAAAGTAAATGTAAACATTTTTAATATTTACTTGTCAAAAGATGAAATAAAAATCATTATTTAAAATAAAGAAATTGTAAAAATTTAGTATGAATCCCTTTAAAATAACACGACATTGAAATTCCCATTTAAAATAAAAATGTTTTGATTAGAAAAACAAGAAACAACACTCGAGATTATCTAAGATATAAGAAACGAAAATAAAAAAATAAAATATATATTCTCGTAGTATTTTCTTGCACCCTACACTCTCGTGTAGAACTGGTAATCCGACAAATATTTTAGAATGTTCCAGATGAGTAGATTAATAATGCGGGAAATTTTCAAAGTAAAATATTCCATAAACTCTCGGTGAATCAATAATAATGTTTCAATCTCGTAAATTTTTGAAATAATTTATTATTATTATTTAATTCATAAGTCTGGAAATTTATTAGATCCTTTAAGATAAATATTTACTGGAACGATTAATTTAAAACATTCTCTAATATTAGTTTTATAATTTTTTGAAAGATATTATTTCGGAACTTATAACTCCGAAGCAGTAGGATTGTATTTCCTCTTACATATGCGGGTATAAGAAGAAATTATGCGGTGTAGAAAGAAAAGGAAGTGCCGAAAGAGAGTGGGTCCTAAAGATTGAGATTCACGTCCAGAAGCATTGCAGATTGGACCCATAGGCCCATTTAGTGATGCACAAATTCTGCTAGTTAAGCCGATGATATATTTATTAGTGGTAACGAACAAATGCACTTTTGTTGGTAGAGAAAAAAGAGAATGTCGTCGGAGAATGAATCGGAGTCTCGGAAATTGAGTTCGGAAGAGATTTCGCGCGAATTCAAAACCCTAGTTAGTTCCAATGATCTTCACTCCCTCAATCACATGCAACACACCATGTGCGTGTCGCAAACCTGTTTCACTGTTATGTAATGATTAAATTGGTGTATGTGTGTGTATGTTCGTTAATTTGATTGATTGGTTGATATGTGTTTCAGATTGGGAAGGTTGCAGGACAGCAATGCGGTGTTGTCGCATTTCAACGACTTCTCTCAACACTGTTTTGCTGAGATTTCCGGTGACATTGCTAGAAACACGCGTGTATTGAAGTGTGTCAAGTCTGACCTTGATTATATCTTTCAGAAACTCAGGTATTATTTTTGCGATCATCGTTGTGTGTCACTTGTTTTTGTTTGTTACTATTAATGCCTCGTCTTTCGAGGTTATTTGCACTTTACTGCTTCATCATTCATCCATTGTTTCCGCATCTCCTACTTATTGTTTGGATAGTCGAGGGCCAGCGGAACAAAGTGGTTTTCTACCTCATTGAGTAAAGTGCTTAGTCTGGCACTTTAGTTTTGTGATTCTTCCACTTAATAAAATAGTTTCTTCCACTTAGTCTCCCCTTGTGCACACATCCTAACAAATTCCAAATGTGAGTTCGTCCTTTCAGTAGCCAGCTCTCAAGGAATTATCAATTGTTAGGATTTAAGAACAAGAGTGTCAAATAGGAGAGCGGCTCTATGCATGGAATGCCCAAAAGCAATCAAGTCTCCGTCCCAGAAACTTGGATGCCTTATACAGCCATTGCCAATCCCTAACAGGATTTGTCGATGGATTTTAGAACTGGCCTACCCTTCTTCCAAGGACAAATGGTCATTCCAATGATGATGGATCACTTGTTGCTCATTTTGATATGTAGACAAATTTCGTTGCCTCACACGTGACTCGGCCTAAGATTATTTTGTCCGACTGTAATCCAGTTTTCATGAGCCATTTCTGGTGTGAATTGCTTAAGCATTGTGGAACCAAGATTTGTATGAGTTCTGCTCACAACTTGGTCAGATGGACGAACTGAGGTTATTAAGGATATTGCAATAGTATTTAATGGCCATGGTTCACCAGAAGTCCTCTTTATAGGGTCAGTTTTTCCCTTTGTTGAATATGCTCAATGGCGTTTTGCTACATCTATGTCTCCATTTGCAGTCACTCACAGAGGAACTCCTACATCCCTTCTTGAATTATATGTCGGCCAACTTTATAATTAAAGCCGTGGATTCCTTGTTATCTCTTTTAGATAGGAAATCCTAGCTTTTTTATCAAAAAAACTCGTAGAAAGCTCAAGAAGTAATCATGTTGACCAAAGCAGATTTCATGTCAGTTTTGTTCTTTGACATTGGGTATGTTAAGTGGCAACCACATCATCAGCATTAAATGCCTTGACAACAATTTCACGAGTTGTCCAAGTGTTTTTATGGTCCCTTGCAAATCACTGAGAAGTTGGGGCCTGTTGAGTATCGCCTGGAACTCCGTGGTTGCTTGATTCCCTCATAAAAGGGTTGTCTTATTCAATGGAATGACATTTTATAGAGGACACTTCTTGAGAAGAATGGAACATTTGAAGACTTCAGTTTGACCTTGTGGACAAGGTCTTGCCTGGCCGGAGGGGTAATAGGAGGATGTCATTGGGCCTAACAAGGTTGATCAACTTGGCCCTACCAAGGATATTCAGTAAGCTGACAAAATATCCAAATGTGTTACTGAACACCTGATGTGATTGTACATGTGTCTAGGCTATCTGGGAAAGTAGGTATCAGTTAGGAATTGTTAGTGAAGAATGGAATTGGATTATGGTATTTGGGTGCTATATGTAGTGGGATTGGGTGGAGAAATGATAAGGAAATAATGTTTTTATGACCCTCATCTTCTCTTTATCTCTTGCGCATAATATTCTTAGTATATGAAACATGGGCTACAACTCCTCTGTTGTTCTTGTGAGGCATATATATGGCCATATTAGTTTATCAATATAGGTCAAGGTTTTATTCTATTGCTATTTTGAGTACCTAGCGAATGGTATTAGAGCCCCATCAAAAGGGCCTGATTCTGTGTGGACACTCTAAAGAGAATATGGCGATTAAGAGTTTATTTATGCAAGCAGTGATTCCAAGACTGAAAGATATGAAGGTGGAAAGAGTTAAAATTAGTTAAGCAAGATGTGAAGGCAACAAATTATCACTCCAAGGCATGATGATGAATCTAGAGACCATTTTGAACAAAGATGTATCTAAAAGCGTCTAGGACTCCATGAAGGGGGTTCATGTAAATAGAAGAGATGTGAGAAAATCTCTTGTGAGTGAGAATGAGATGATATCATTCCATTTAACTCTTAAGCGTGATGCACAAGTTCGTAGGGTAATAAACTATTTGGTGAGAGATTTTTCAAGTTTTCCAAAAAAATTGTAGTCTCATTTGAAAGGTGCCTATTTGTTGAGATGTTTTTGTTTATGGAGGCCAGAATGTCAAACCACTTTAAATTATGTGCCTTCCACTATTTCTATCAGTAATGTTCTGTGTGATCCTATCATCAATATTTTTTGTATGTGAAGTTTTTCATCAAATATATAGCAAGCCTGTTGCCTAGAACTTTAGGAGGAGTTAGAGATGCTGAAAGGAAAGTTTGTCAATAATATTTTAAAACACACTTGCCATTGTTGACAAGATGGAAGTCAATTTCAGCAATGATAGATGTTGTAGTCAGTGACAAAATATTGAGGTCTATGATGCCTAGGTTCAATTATGTGATATTCTTTCAAGGAACCAATGGATTTGGATGCTCCTACAATGGATGAATTATGATAGGACTCCAAATAAGGGTCATACGGTGAGAAGTGAGCATGGGCATGTTACTCAACAAGGAACAATTATAGACGGGATAGTTAGGCACAAAATATGGAAAGTTTATACCAGGAGAAAGAAAGTGGGGTCAAGTGGGGAAGGAAGGAGTGAGAGGAGAGTTACTCCTTGGAGGAGTCTATGACTTTGGTGTTGCTTTGTTTGTTGTAGAGCTATCAGCTCATCACTATTTTACTACATAATCGTACATACTTAGCTATTCATTTCGTTCTTAGTTTTTATCAAATTACCACTATTTTTAAAATCAAACTGGATCAACCAGAAATTGATTTAGAAACCGATTTGTTGTTTCTAAATAATCGAATTTTAGTTAAACCAATACAAAATCAGGAAAATTGGTTAGATTTTTGGATCAAACTGGTTTTGGTAAAAAAGAAATTAAAATTAAAATTTTTAATCTTTTTTATAAAAGATATAATATTTAAAAAAAAAATATTTATCTCATAACCTAATGTATTTTATATTTATAACTTTCGTTGTAATTAATAGTGGTCATGAGAACAACCTTTGTTGTTTCTCTTTTAAAAAATAAAAAGATTTCGTTACTAATAAACTTATTATATAATCTTATTATATTATGAAAATATTATTTTATTAAATTTGGTTGGATTTATTAAACCTTGAACTCATGTCTTTATCATTTCTGTGCCTACTCCGATTTTTAAAACATTGTCAATTACAAAGCAGTATTATGATATATGAGCTAGAACAATGCTGTTTTTTTCTTCTACGAAACTCAGATGCTGGTAGTCACGCTGTCTTCCATTGATGTTTAATTTGTTGATGCAGTTTCTTGCACCTGGCAAGTCATATGCATCAAGGCGGTGACACAACAATTTCTGTTATACTAATTCAGCTATTGAGCTCTCAAAGAATCCTGATTTTTCATGGCCATACATAGATGTTTGATTTCACTTTCGTCATTATTTCACAAGGGATGTAGTTATTAAGTTAAAAACTCAAGAACAATTTGCAGATATAATGACCAAGTCATTATAGCTTGATTTCCTTGTTATTCTTTGAGGTTTATTAGGATTATGTGTTATTCAGTTTGAGGGAGCACGTTGAATTGTTATGATTTGAAATAGTTTAACGTTGAAACTAGTCTTTAGATATGTTAGTGATTTGAATGTTCCCTATCTTTTAAGAATTAGATATTGGCTTCCTTTTTATTATCCATTGTAGAAGATTTTACTAGCTATCAGTATCAATATAGCCCAAATTTTTATTCTCTAACTATTTTGAGTACGTACATGTGAACATGGCCTAATTTGAAGGTGTTAGTTGAGAGAAGGAAGGGAGGAAGAAGAAAGTGGATGATTCTGTTTTTTATTTTGTAGGAGTAATTCTTAAATGCCAAGTTCAAAATGTATTATTGTGAAGGAGCTTGGTGGTTATATCAAAATATTAGATATTTCAGGGATTTCCAATCTACCTCCTCCTCACATCCAGGATATGGGTGAGGTCCCAACAACCATTATTCACTTATATATTCCCACTTATATCTCTAGTCAATGAGCGATTTTCAGCAACTCTTTCTAGTTGGTCTCATACTTTGTGAATTAGCAACCATTCCGCATATCAACAACAACGGGTTATAATGTAGATGGGCCTGCAGTTCCCTCTGTCTAGTAGAAAAAACTGCTTTGTCAAGTCATAACCAATTCCTCAGATATTTACCTATTTATCATAAGTTGCCTGAAAAAGAGTTTTTCTGTACACTTATCTGTTTCCTGTGGTTGGTCTCCATGAAAACCATAAATGTCACCTCTAATAAGTTCTATCTTTGTACTCCATCTAAGGGATTTCACTTCTGTCTCAAGCAAACCAAGTTCATAATCTATATCTGTCTCACAATCTAGTAACTTAAACTTCAATGATGTCCCAAACACATACCTTACAAAACTACATAGATTTTGTTGAACTGTTGTAAGAGTTGGAGGCTTTGGTTGTAAACTTGTGCCGCATAAGCATTGAAGGTATCACCGCTTTGTTATTGGCTACTCATGTTCTTGTTCATAATATATATAATATCTGCTTTCAACATTTCCTTTTTTATGGACTTGATCTAGATTGCAATTATCTAGCTGGTTAGTAGGTTCAAAGACCAATCAACAGTTACGATTTAGACAAAAATGGGTAGTGTCTACTAAGGTATGGAGGGAAATACTCTACCGCCCTATACACAGGTGAATTGTGTCTGCAACTATGCATGTTAATAGATATCTACTGGTCTGTCTTCAAGTTCAACACTTGAATCAATATACATGTGTGTATATTGACATCATATGAACACAAAGACTAGGTAATTTTTTTATGTTCCCTTAGACAGCGGACCCGTGAATCAAAAACAGGTTACAGATTTCAACCTATCTCGTTAATTTTTTTATATATAATTTTTTATATGTATTTTTAAAAAAATATACTTTTAATTATATAAATATTTAAAAAAAAATATTTATTAATTAATATTTTCATTAAATAAATTCAAAAAATTATTATATTTGTATATTAAAATAACTATGATTAATAACTTAAACTTAATTGGTTAATATTTATAATTCAAATTATAATATTATAATATATTTACATATTTCATTAATATTATAAAAAAAATTGTAATATTTTTAATTATATATTTTTTTTAATATATAAATATTTTTTAAAACAGATAAGTTGATTAATCCTTTTCACTTTCTTCTTTGATCTTTCAAATTAACGAAACTAAACAAAATGGGTTAAAACAGGTTAAAGGACTAAAATTATCCATTCAACTATTCGGACTGATTAATCCTTTGTACTTTATGCAAGGTGGCTATTTAGCTGCTTATTTAAACTTTTTCTACAGCTTCAAGAGGTAAGTTGCTAACTGAATACTAAACCTAGGATGGACTTGAACCGTATGTTGACTGAGGATGTTGAAGATTGAAAGTCTTTAGTGGGGACAATGAAATATTGATGACATTGGTAACAGGAAATCTGGTGAAAGGGAAGCAAGTAAACGACAGTAGGGGCGAATGCAACGAGGCTAACGGAAGCAAAGTCGGCAGCAAAAGCTCATTATCGATCTAGATTTAGTATCTACATTTTATATGTTAAGAATTTTAGGATTGCCATGTGATAAAAATGGATTAAAGGAACATGTGGTAAATGTAGAAAAATATAACGAAGAACCTTCTATATGTGCTTGCTACTCCAACCCACACATTATTTTTCTTTTGTGTGGCCTTATTTTCATGTTTATTTTCTTCATGAAATCTTTCATTAAAGCTTGGTTAACCCTGCTGCTGTCTCGCAGAAGTATGAAATCAAAAATTATGGCAACCTATCCTGACGCGTTTCCTGAAGACTCAATGGGAGAAGGGATTGATCGGAGACCAGATCTTGAAATGCCCAAGTAAATAATGTTATCACAATTCATTTGAACAAGATATGAATCTTCGTACCTTTTATTAAATGTGTTTTTCGTTCTATTAAAATTTCTAAAATTGTTTTTTCTTTGTCAACAATGATAATTGACATAACCCACAGTTCTAGGAAGAGAAATTAATTTAAAGTCTAATTGAATTGGAATTATATCTCATTTTATTATTAAACGTTAGAACTTGGTCATTACGTTGAACCACGACTATAGTTCATTTCCAGTATACGTTCACGGGAAACGCAAACGTATAAAATCAACCATTGCATTTACTTCTCAGTTGTGTGAAAATATGGCGTTTTACAGAATAGCATCCAACAATTTTAATATTAGTTAATTATCGGTGAAAAATTACAAGAAGAGCGAGAAGGAGCTAACTAAAAAATATCTTCATAAGCCAGAAAACACCCTATTACATAACAGATTGTCCACAAATATATAATTCTTTCCCCAGTATGCTCATGTCAATCATCAGATGGAAAATAAACAGACTAAATTAAGACGAAAAACTTAAAGCCAACTATATTTCGGCATTTCCCACCTTGCTTCTACCCCTGTTGAAAGTAACAAAGAGAGCTGCTCTGCAACAAAGTAGATCTAAATTTACAAGATAGGAAACGATCAACCAAGTAAAAGAAAAAGATGAGAAAAAGGCAAAGAGAGAATTAAAAACCCGAACAAAAACCAAAAGATATAAGCATCTTAGGCAGAAACCCTAAAAACCCAAAAACCCTAGGAGTAAAGCCTGTTAGGAGCTAACCACTGTAAACAAAACCCAATGAGAAGGGATTGGTGCTAGAATTCTATGAACTAACTCCGCCCAGCCAATCTCAATATACAGATCTTTATCTTCACTAGGCAACCAATAACTATCTTCAGACTGCAAGAGAAGGCAAGACAGATCAAATCAGGCGGAACCAAATTGCTGAGTAATATATTCCTAGGAAGCAACATAAGCCACCAAATGGATTGGACCGCCTTCATCAAACACTAGAGCTTAGCAACCATTAGCAATTCCATTGCTTCCTAACACAACCTTTCCCTCTGAAATAACTGGTTTAGCACCCTTTGGGGCATCTCCAGTTTTTGAAACAGATCCATTCTCGGGAGATTTCTGGTCATCGCCATCCTTGTCAGTAAGGGTGGACTCCTTGAGCAATTCTGATTCAGATTTTTGAGTGTTTAATTCCCCGTTTTTCTCAACCTTCTCATCAGTAGGTTTCCCTTCCCATACCTATATAAATAGACATGGACAATAAAATAAAATCATCAGCACACAAACATATGCTTTCACATATCTTGAATAAATGAAACGAATTACTTGCCTGTTTTGGGTATTGTTGTTTCGCTTTCTTCTCCAAAATAGTCTTCTGACGGGCCTCATAAAACCCAAAATCATCCAGAATGCATGTCTTACTGGTATATTCCTTGAAGATTTTGATTAGTTTTAGCCCAGGCTCCAACATTACCTGCAAAAATAAACATGGTTGATCAGATGAAAATAAGAGAGATCCTTAAAGGGAACTAAAAGAGCAGGACCTAATTACCTCCTGTGTATCCCGACTGTTCGTCACAGGCTTGTTCTCATTGTTGTCCAATGTAATGTGCCTTAACAAATTGTTAGGGACATCTTTAACAATGTGCCACTTGAGAGGAAAACAACCATTCCACTTGTCTTGCTGCCAATACTCAACACTCTTGTTAAAATCAACCGGACCAATCATTTCAGCAAGCCCCACAAATTGCCCACTCGTATTAACCTGTACAAATAATAAGCACACGATAAGTTAAAAAAAAAAATCCATAGAAGCAAATAGAAGAGAGACCAACATCATGTCCAGAGATGCTTACTGAGAAGAATAGAAATACAGGGCAGCCACCAGGTTTCTGCTGTGCCTCCTGGTATGCAGCATCAAGCTTCTTATTGCCATTTTGAGTACTGGCCCACACGTTGTACTTGATGCTCTTGTGAATATCATCCTCGCTGTAAGACTTAATGACAAAAAATTTGGCATCAGCATATTCCTCTGGAAAATCAGCTTTGTTATATTGATCACGGTCAGGACCGGTACTAGTCTTGTCTTTCTCTTCATCTGTACCTAGAGTTGCCGGTAAATTCTGCCCCTTCACGGCTAGAACGGTTGGTGCAAAACCTTTTTGGTTTTTCCCACCCTTAGCCCTAGGTCCTCTGTTCAGTTCATTCAAACCATCTACATTCTCGTTGCCATATCCAAAGTACCCACCACTTCTTCCCCTAGTTTTGTATTTACTGTCAACAGCTAACCAAGTCCTTCCATTTGTACGAGAATCATACCCATGAGTTCCATAACCCATTCCAGATCTGACAGCGTTCCCATATTGACCATATAACTTGTTTGGATACATCCTATTTATGAAGCTATGGGTGGCTCCCATGGCAGGCATTGGTCTCGGGTGGTGCAAACCCTGAAAAAACACAATTTAGCTATAAATAACCACAACAGCAGTCTAGGCAGAAACAAGACCAGTTATCACAAAAAGATCAATCACAAGTAATAGATCATACAACAAATCGTAGGACTTAAAAAATCACTACATATAACAAACTAATAGCAGACAATTTATCACAATAAATTCAATAAGAACTGATGGACCATACCATAAATTGAGAATTAGGGCGGAAAGTCTGGTTCCTTGAGGCAGTGTTGTTGCCACCTGATATTGAAGGAGTGATTGGTGCGCTACTCACGGGCCTTGGTTGCCCATCTGAAAATATTGGGGCATCTAGCCATGGGATTGGTGAGCGTACTCCATCAAAACCAAACCTTGGATCCTGATAACCTGAAGTTGGACCGCGACCTGGCATAGCAACCCTTTCAGTTGAAGCTTTGGAAATAAAAGAATTTTGATTGGCATGTTTAACAGGAGCAGCAGCGTTATTACCTTTAGCATTGCCACCGTTTGCAACACCATTAGAATTTCCATTGGCTGCTTCAACAGGGAGAGGTTTTTGATCAGTAGCAACAGAAGTAGAAACCTCACCCTGAGGAAGGACAGCAGGAGTAGGTGTGAATGGCGCACTAGTTGGTGTTAACGGTTGAAAATATGGAGGATACTGATAGTGTTGAGGCCCGTACAACTGACCATCATTTCCCATGGTTGGAACTGGAGACCCTGCTGGTGAATAGGGGCCATAGGGAGCATATCCATATCCATGGTGATAAACAAGAGACCCATTATCCCCATAAACTCCCTGACAAAAATAAAAAATATAGTGTAGATAACAACATTAGCAATTGGGTTAAAAGGCCTGCAGAAAGTAGAAGACGAAAAGGTTAAATTTCCCACCGAAGTCATCTCAACTCCTTCCGAATTCACATATCTAGAATAATCATCCCACTCGTTACCAGTTCCATCATAACCTGCAATGAACCAAACATTATACACATTGCATGCGATAATACTGTGCATTAACAAAACTTCGTAACAAGAAATCCATGTTATTTTTTTGCAGTATTTATCCAAAAACTTACCACCGTAATAATAGGCAGTAGAGGGATAGCCATTTGGGAGATAACACATAGTAGGATCAATAAAATCCTGCAACACTGGGGTCACAGACCGATCGTACGACGGGATCTGGCCGTTTGCAGCATTTCCTGAATCAACCGATCCATACTGATTCCCAGTGGCCTACACAATTGAGCAAATCAACTTAAAACCACACAATTCGCCAAAAGAATATATAACCAGGTACAAACACATCTCGCTTAACATGTAAAGAGTTATACTACTGTCACAAGTGAGCAAATCGTGAATTTAAGATAGCAGTCATAAAAAACACAAGATTTTACCTTCTTCGTAGGTTCAGGCATCTCCAAGGCCTTGGGCTGAGTTTCTAGTGATAGCTTCTGAAGCAAATCAGTTGCTTCTGTAGCAAATCAGTGAAGGAACACAAAAAGACTTCTCGCAAAATCAAAATATTCAACAACCACAAAACCTAAAACTCTCAAAACAAACAACAAAATTTCAAGAAACCTCAACCCCCCATCCCAACAACCTCAAACGAGTGAATTTAAACCACAAAGTCAACACCGTAAAAAACTAAACCAGATTAGCAAAACACAGCCACACAAAAATCCCAACACGCAACCATTACAAATCAGCAAGCAAAACGCCAAACCCTAAAAAGATCACCCTTCACGGAGCCGAAAAATTAGGTTTATAAACGAAACCCGACGGATCCAATCCGCGATTCAACAAAACAGATCAAGAAAAAAGCAAACACGAAAGAGAAATTGCACATAAAAGAAGGATACGATCCGCGGGATTAGCAACGGTAGCCATCTCAAATCAAGCACGAGATCTGGTGTTCCTTGTGACGCAGAAGCGAAAAAAAGAAGCCCTAAATCGAAATCGAAATCGAGGGTTTAAGCCCCAAAATCGAAGAGTCGAGAAAACCCTAAAGGGAGCGAACAGAGAGAGAAAGAGAGAGAAGAGAAGGAAAGAGAAAAAAAAGAGAGAGAACGAAACACAACACAACACACAACGGGTCTCGCAGCCGCCAAGGGTTTGGGTTTTTGGGGAGAGAGGGTTTTGTTCCACCGAAACCAGTGATTCAAATAGCACCACCACGCTCTCTTTTCGCACTCTCACTCTCTCACCCGCGGGTCACTCCGTGATCTCATTCCCCCTCTCTCATTGGTGGATCCCCACACGTGTGCCTCACCCATTCGATTCCATTTTCTTAATTATTTCCACGGTCTCGTCAACATTTGTCTGTCGCGCTGGATTGGTTGAGCCCACGGGTAAATTTAACAATACCCCTTGTGAATCTTGTAGATGCGGGGTTTGGGCAAAAGACTGAAACCCTAATTAGAAAATGACAGAAATGTCCTCGTCCAGCTGGACTTGTGGTAACCCTTCTTCGGTTTTTTCTTTGCCTCCTTCTGTCATGTGCTCCACCACATATCGTGTTCAAATTCATTTCCACTCAACAAAACTCAAATAATAATTAATCATTTTACCTTATTCTGCCTTTCAATTAATAGAATTTAATACTTTCTTTTTTTAGTTCTAATTAATGGATTTTAATTTGAAATATCTATAAAATAATAATTATTAATTTTAAATAATCAAGAATTTTGAAAAATGAATTTTAATGGGTAGTTTCGAGAACACCTTTCAAGATTATTTGTTGGTCAAGATAAGGAAGACCAAAAGATAGATAGAATTATTACTTAATTTAATGTTATTGAGTAAAATAATAATATATTATAAAATTATCTTATTTTATTTATATTTTCGAATGTTGCTTTGTAAATAAAAAAGAAAAGTCCTAGGATATGACATCTACTTTGAGTATTGATAACGTTGATTCAAAAATTCTATTGATCAATAGTTATGGAAATTATAGATATTATTTGAAAAGTATTTAACTCAAGTGAATAATATTGTTTTTTTTAATATCGAATAATAATAAAAAATGTGTTGAAGAGGGAGGAGGAGATCCTGTGCATGTTTAATTTAAATTCAGTAACATCCCTTCACATCATCAAATTGGAAGTAACCTTCTGTAGCTTTTACGTTTGTAGTAAACTGTGAAGCAAAATGAAGAGTACATAGGAAATTTTTTAATTACTCTGAAATATGGAGCTAAGAAAATATAATTATGTTTAAATAAATAATGTTTTAAAAATGGTTTTGGTCAACTTTTTCACAAAAAAAGTTCTTATGAAAGGTAACGATTCAACTTTTCCAAGTTAAAATATTTTTGTAAAACTTAATTTTGACAATATTTTTACCAACAAAATAAAATTAAAGTTTTTTTTAAGAAGTATAAATTCTAAAACTTGATTTTCAGATTTGAAAAAAATATGTTAAATGCAGTATGTGATAAGTGTAATATAATTGTTTGATTCTATTTTAATCAATTATTTAATACGTTAATGGTTTATGTTGGTGGATCAAATATGACAGGAAAATATGAAAATAAAAATATTTTATTGTAATTCAATATCATAATAGTATTCTTTTTGCCAACATATTTATTATCTACAAGAGAAGTTGGGTCAGGATAAATTAATATAGTAACTTGTATTTATATTTATAATTATTATACACATAAATTTAAATTATATTATTTTAAATATATTAATTATAATTTGAAACTTAAAATATAATAATATTTATATAATTATAATTTAGTCAAAATTACAATCTTTTATATTTTTTTATCATTATAATGTATTACAACATAGAGTAATAAATTTTAATGTTAAATCTTACAACTTTATCAAATTAAAATTAAAACAACTTTTTGTTTTTATTCACATTATAACAAGACAAAACACAATAATAATAGTTATTATATTATATGAATTTGTTTTAGGTAATTCAATCTACATACACTTGTCACCTAATTTTAGACATAAATTAAAATTTTAAATATTACAAAATTTAAAGAAATAAATTAAGAGTGGTATCAGTCTCTTACAAAAATTGAGCTTATAAGTTATTGATGATATTTCTCTCCAATAAATCTTTCTTTTAAATATCTAACTATGAAATAAAAGTCTAAATAAAGAATAACGAATATATATTTTATCATTATATAAAATTTATAACTTTTATTTTAACATTGTCATCCAAATACTTGATCCGTTTTTTTTATTTTTTATTTTCGTTAAGACATAAATTGGTCATTCCAAGTCTTCACCCCATTGTATGCAAATTTTGGTTGGTTTATATATAATATTAAGCATGAGGGTCAAATATTCAAAGGAAAATGAAGCACATGGTAAGATTGTGAGGAAACACATGAGAGTTATCCCCATCTAAGGGGAGTAATATTGATAGAGACAAAGACAAGGTTATTATTTAAAAATAATAAAGATATATTATAACTGATAGAAATTAAATTTTTTATTTTTAGAAAATTTTTAAACCATATACATATTCAAAAACCATATTTATAATAAGAGTAACTAATCCTTAAGAATAATATATATATTTTTAAAATTACTTAAATAGATTTGTTTTTGGTTTATAAGTACTTTTTTTCTTAATTTTTTTATTTTTTCTATTTTACTTATTTTGTTTTTCTCTCTTTATCCACTTATTTTCCTAATTGAACTACTATATTAAAATTTAATCAAAATATGTTAAAATAAATATTTAAAAAATAATATTAAAACTAAAAAATATTAATTAGTTATTTTAAAATATGATGATAATAAACCGTTTTATTTATTTTGACGATAAATATTTTTATTTACAATGTAAATAATTAATTTAACAATATTTTATCATAATAAATAATTACTCATCAAATTAAAAAATATTAAATATTTATAAAATAAATGTATTTTTATTTGATAATTACATTTACTTATATAATTTTGATTTATGATAATTAATTAGATTGGATATTTTTTTATAAATATTTATTAAAAAATACATTAAAATAAAATTTTATTTTTTTTAATAATTATAACATAACAATAATATTTAACATCTCAATAATAATAAAAAACTTATGTTATCAAATTTTAATATAGTATTTATAATTAAATGATAAGATGGAGTGAGAGAAAAATAACAAAAAGAAAACCAACAAGTAAATGAAGAGAAAAAAAGAGGGAAGAAGTGAAAAAAATATGTATTAATAATCTAAACAATATAATAACAACTTAAATTTAAATTATTTATGTTAAATGTAACAACCCTAGAAATCGCTACTATAATGATGTCTTCGCAAAGTAGTAAACAACAAAATAACGACATCTATTTTACATTATATTACTTGTAATTGTAACATAGATTGAAATTTCGGTTCATTAACTGAACTTCAAAATATAGTAACATAATTTATTTATATATTATACATGTAAAAGTAGTTCCTCGAAGCTATCCTACTCGAACTATCCCTGTTGTCCAGTAGTTACATCTCCATCTCTCAACTCCTGATCTGCTCCCACATAAAAGTGATCATCGCAGTCCCATCCACATGGAAAAATAGGGATAAATATTAAATCATTCGATATAATAAAACAGATATAAAAGTAATAATTATATATTATGATCAATTACAAAATCATCAACACACTAAGGCACCTTCCGGAAGTATACCCTAACTCAGAGGCTATCATCTGTGGGCACATTGTGATCGGTACCCGCAGTACCATTCTGACCACCCTCCACACAGAGTATGATTATTGGCGTCCTTCATCACTCATACTCGAGTACCCCTCCAAGCGCACCACCAGTCATCCCCCATCGACTTCTCACCACCTGATCTCGTAGTCTACCTGACCCGACCAATCAGTGAGTCTGGGACCTCATTCAAAATCCTCAAACATAGTTATTACACTAATGTACTCTGTACCACCCCAGGTACCATTCAAACATAACAAAAATCATTCACATTTGCCGTATTCTGGACCACCTGTCCTCACGGCTCATTCGGGTTAATAAAATAGTATTTGATTGATTCTGGCACTAACCTTCTGGCTCAGTTTAGCCAATATATAACGTCTCATGACTGATTCTGGGCATCAGCCCTCAGGCTCAGTCTGACCCACACACGTCATAACACACTACTTTCATTCTCTCTCTTTATATATATATATTTTTCTAAAATCATTTCTGAAATCATTTCTGAAATCATTTCTGAAATCATTTCCGAAACTATTTCCGAAACTATTTTCGAAATCATTTCCGAAATCATTAAATTAATATTTTACCCTTAATCTTTTCTTAAAATTCCATGTATGTCCCTAAATGACTATTTTACCCTTGGATATTTTTTTAAATTCCTTCCATGTCCCGAAAATAACTATTTTGCCCTTGGACATTTTCAAAAATTCCTTCCATGTCCCGAAAATGACTATTTTGCCCTTGGACATTTTCAAAAATTCCTTCCATGTCCCAAAAATGACTATTTTATCCTTGAACAATTTCGAAAATTCCATTTATGTCCCTAGGATGTAAAATGACTATTTTGCCCTTGAACATTTTCAAAATTACATTTATGTCTCTAGGATGTAAAATGACTATTTTACCCTTGATCTTTTTAAAAAATCCCCACCATATCCCTTTCTTCTTCCTTCGCCCAGTAACAGTATCGAATTTTGCAAATTTTGGCAGATTTCAAATTACTCAGTTTTAGACAACCAAACTAATCCTAAATCGAAATTAAACATGAATTATATCTAATTTAAGTTGAAAACAACAATTTTACCATATAATTCATCCTTAATTTTAAGAATTTCAAAAACTTTCAAACCATGAATAGTGCATCCAAAATAAAAAATTCTTCAAAATCAGACATTCAAATAATTCATATC